TGTGTGTGTGTGTGGTGTGTGTGTGTGTGTGTGTGTGTGTGTGTGTGTGTGTGTGTGTGTGTGTGTGTGTGTGTGTGTGTGTGTGTTCTTACCTGCATACATGTGGTAGGTGAGCCTCTCGATCAGTTTGACGACGGTTCCCGCCTTGATCAGCGGGATTCCCGTCTTGCTCTGCACTTTGTCCTCCAACACGATGTTCTCTTCAGAGTCCTGCACGGCGAAGCGGTAAACGTCGGGCGAGGGCAGCCTGAGAGGGTGCGCCCGCTCCTCGTGCTGCAGCACTGTGTCCAACATACGGTCCAAAGTGGAGCGGTACTGCAGAGTGACGAGCGCCGCCATCCACGCCGCCTTCTCATCCGCGGTACGTGCGGAGAACACGGCGCAGTTCTCGTCTTTCCCGATCAGCTCGAACGGGTGCCGCAGCTCCGCCGAGTCCTCGCGGTCCACGATGCGGATCTTCCTCAGCACAAACTTCTCCTTCAGACGGTACTCGGCGCCGCTTCCCGACCCGGGGAGCCGCGAACTCTGATTGGCCTTACAGCTGATCATCAGGCCGTCAAACAGGAAGTTGTGTCTCTCGTGTTTGGCGCCGGCTCGTAGCAGCGGCCCCTCCAGGATGAACTCGCTGCAGCACTGCCCGATGTCTTTCCCCTCCCAGCCGTCGATGCTCTTCTGGATCTCGTTCATGCGTTTGATGGCGAGCTGTTTGCTCCGAACCTGTCTGCTGTAGAGGCGGTACATGGGCTCGCTGTGGAGGAAGGGGGAGGAGATTAGAGCCAGAACATCTCGAGGTCAATAAACGGGGCGAACAGGTCATCATGCCCGTCAGAGAGCGAGGACCTAACGGGATCTAAAGGGTTAAAAAGTGGAGGACGTTACCCGGGTTTACGGCGAGGCTGCTTGGCATAGATTCGCTCCACGCTACATTGAAGGTTTAACAACGCCGTGATCGCCTGCTTCAGACACTCACGGTCGTCCTGGTCGTCACTGCGCTCCTGAAGCTGCTGCAGAAACAAAACAAACACGAGTCAGAGGAAAACAAAACAAACACGAGTCAGAGGAAAACAAAACAAACACGAGTCAGAAGAAAACAAAACAAACACGAGTCAGAAAAAAACAAAACAAACACGAGTCAGAGGAAAACAAACACGAGTCAGAAGAAAACAAAACAAACACGAGTCAGAAGAAAACAATACAAACACGAGTCAGAAGAAAACAAAACAAACACGAGTCAGAAGAAAACAATACAAACACGAGTCAGAAGAAAACAAAACAAACACGAGTCAGAGGAAAACAATACAAACACGAGTCAGAAGAAAATAAAACAAACACGAGTCAGAAGAAAACAATACAAACACGAGTCAGAAGAAAACAATACAAACACGAGTCAGAAGAAAACAAAACAAACACGAGTCAGAAGAAAACAATACAAACACGAGTCAGAGGAAAACAATACAAACACGAGTCAGAAGAAAACAAAACAAACACGAGTCAGAAAAAAACAAAACAAAAACGAGTCAGAGGAAAACAAACACGAGTCCGAAGAAAACAAAACAAACACGAGTCAGAGGAAAACAAAACAAACACGAGTCAGAAGAAAACAAAACAAACACGAGTCAGAAGAAAACAATACAAACACGAGTCAGAAGAAAACAAAACAAACACGAGTCAGAAGAAAACAATACAAACACGAGTCAGAAGAAAACAATACAAACACGAGTCAGAAGAAAACAAAACAAACACGAGTCAGAAGAAAACAAAACAAACACGAGTCAGAGGAAAACAAAACAAACACGAGTCAGAGGAAAACAAAACAAACACTAGTCAGAGAAAAACAATACAAACACGAGTCAGAGGAAAACAAAACAAACACGAGTCAGAAGAAAACAATACAAACACGAGTCAGAAGAAAACAATACAAACACGAGTCAGAAGAAAACAAAACAAACACGAGTCAGAGGAAAACAAAACAAACACGAGTCAGAAGAAAAAAAAACAAACACGAGTCAGAGGAAAACAAAACAAACACGAGTCAGAGGAAAACAAAACAAACACGAGTCAGAAGAAAACAAAACAAACACGGAGTCAGAAGAAAACAAAACAAACACGAGTCAGAAGAAAACAAAACAAACACGAGTCAGAGGAAAACAATACAAACACGAGTCAGAAGAAAACAAAACAAACACGAGTCAGAAGAAAACAAAACAAACACGAGTCAGAGGAAAACAAAACAAACACGAGTCAGAAGAAAACAAAACAAAACAAACACGAGTCAGAAGAAAACAAAACAAACACGGAGTCAGAAGAAAACAAAACAATACAAACACGAGTCAGAGGAAAACAAAACAAACACGAGTCAGAAGAAAACAAAACAAACACGAGTCAGAGGAAAACAAAACAAACACGAGTCAGAAGAAAACAAAACAAACACTGAGTCAGAAGAAAACAAAACAAAACAAACACGAGTCAGAAGAAAACAAAACAAACACGAGTCAGAGGAAAACAATACAAACACGAGTCAGAAGAAAACAAAACAAACACGAGTCAGAAGAAAACAAAACAAACACGAGTCAGAGGAAAACAAAACAAACACGAGTCAGAAGAAAACAAAACAAACACGAGTCAGAGGAAAACAAAACAAACACGAGTCAGAAGAAAACAAAACAAACACGAGTCAGAGGAAAACAAAACAAACACTAGTCAGAGAAAAACAATACAAACACGAGTCAGAGGAAAACAATACAAACACGAGTCAGAAGAAAACAAAACAAAACAAACACGAGTCAGAAGAAAATAAAACAAACACGAGTCAGAAGAAAACAATACAAACACGAGTCAGAAGAAAACAATACAAACACGAGTCAGAAGAAAACAAAACAAACACGAGTCAGAGGAAAACAAAACAAACACTAGTCAGAGAAAAACAATACAAACACGAGTCAGAGGAAAACAATACAAACACGAGTCAGAAGAAAACAAAACAAAACAAACACGAGTCAGAAGAAAATAAAACAAACACGAGTCAGAAGAAAACAATACAAACACGAGTCAGAAGAAAACAATACAAACACGAGTCAGAAGAAAACAAAACAAACACGAGTCAGAAGAAAACAATACAAACACGAGTCAGAAGAAAACAAAACAAACACGAGTCAGAAGAAAACAATACAAACACGAGTCAGAAGAAAACAATACAAACACGAGTCAGAAGAAAACAAAACAAACACGAGTCAGAAGAAAACAAAACAAACACGAGTCAGAGGAAAACAAAACAAACACGAGTCAGAAGAAAACAAAACAAACAAACACGAGTCAGAAGAAAACAAAACAAACACGAGTCAGAAGAAAACAAAACAAAACAAACACGAGTCAGAAGAAAACAAAACAAAACAAACACGAGTCAGAAGAAAACAAAACAAACACGAGTCAGAGGAAAACAAAACAAACACGAGTCAGAAGAAAACAAAACAAACACGAGTCAGAAGAAAACAAAACAAACACGAGTCAGAGGAAAACAAAACAAACACGAGTCAGAAGAAAACAAAACAAACACGAGTCAGAAGAAAACAAAACAAAACAAACACGAGTCAGAAGAAAACAAAACAAACACGAGTCAGAAGAAAACAAAACAAACACGAGTCAGAAGAAAACAAAACAAACACGAGTCAGAAGAAAACAATACAAACACGAGTCAGAAGAAAACAATACAAACACGAGTCAGAAGAAAACAAAACAAACACGAGTCAGAAGAAAACAAAACAAACACGAGTCAGAAGAAAACAAAACAAACACGAGTCAGAGGAAAACAAAACAAACACGAGTCAGAAGAAAACAATACAAACACGAGTCAGAAGAAAACAATACAAACACGAGTCAGAAGAAAACAAAACAAACACGAGTCAGAAGAAAACAAAACAAACACGAGTCAGAAGAAAACAAAACAAAACAAACACGAGTCAGAAGAAAACAAAACAAACACGAGTCAGAAGAAAACAAAACAAAACAAACACGAGTCAGAAGAAAACAAAACAAACACGAGTCAGAAGAAAACAATACAAACACGAGTCAGAAGAAAACAAAACAAACACGAGTCAGAAGAAAACAAAACAAACACGAGTCAGAAGAAAACAAAACAAACACGAGTCAGAGGAAAACAAAACAAACACGAGTCAGAAGAAAACAAAACAAACACGAGTCAGAAGAAAACAATACAAACACGAGTCAGAAGAAAACAATACAAACACGAGTCAGAAGAAAACAAAACAAACACGAGTCAGAAGAAAACAAAACAAACACGAGTCAGAAGAAAACAAAACAAACACGAGTCAGAAGAAAACAAAACAAACACGAGTCAGAGGAAAACAAAACAAACACGAGTCAGAAGCAAACAAAACAAACACGAGTCAGAAGAAAACAATACAAACACGAGTCAGAAGAAAACAATACAAACACGAGTCAGAAGAAAACAAAACAAACACGAGTCAGAAGAAAACAAAACAAACACGAGTCAGAGGAAAACAAAACAAACACGAGTCAGAAGAAAACAAAACAAAACAAACACGAGTCAGAAGAAAACAAAACAAAACAAACACGAGTCAGAAGAAAACAAAACAAAACAAACACGAGTCAGAAGAAAACAAAACAAACACGAGTCAGAGGAAAACAAAACAAACACGAGTCAGAAGAAAACAATACAAACACGAGTCAGAAGAAAACAAAACAAAACAAACACGAGTCAGAGGAAAACAAAACAAACACGAGTCAGAGGAAAACAATACAAACACGAGTCAGAAGAAAACAATACAAACACGAGTCAGAGGAAAACAAAACAAACACGAGTCAGAAGAAAACAAAACAAACACGAGTCAGAGGAAAACAATACAAACACGAGTCAGAAGAAAACAATACAAACATGAGTCAGAGGAAAACAAAACAAACACGAGTCAGAAGAAAACAAAACAAACACGAGTCAGAAGAAAACAATACAAACACGAGTCAGAAGAAAACAATACAAACACGAGTCAGAAGAAAACAATACAAACACGAGTCAGAGGAAAACAAAACAAACACGAGTCAGAAGAAAACAAAACAAAACAAACACGAGTCAGAAGAAAACAAAACAAACACGAGTCAGAGGAAAACAAAACAAACACGAGTCAGAGGAAAACAAAACAAACACTAGTCAGAGAAAAACAATACAAACACGAGTCAGAGGAAAACAATACAAACACGAGTCAGAAGAAAACAAAACAAACACGAGTCAGAGGAAAACAAAACAAACACGAGTCAGAAGAAAAGAAAACAAACACGAGTCAGAAGAAAAGAAAAGAAAACAAACACGAGTCAGAAGAAAACAAAACAAACACGAGTCAGAAGAAAACAAAACACAACAAACACGAGTCAGAAGAAAACAAAACAAACACGAGTCAGAAGAAAACAAAACAAAACAAACACGAGTCAGAAGAAAACAAAACAAAACAAACACGAGTCAGAAGAAAACAAAACAAACACGAGTCAGAGGAAAACAAAACAAACACGAGTCAGAAGAAAACAAAACAAACACGAGTCAGAGGAAAACAAAACAAACACGAGTCAGAGGAAAACAGAGGAAAACAAAACAAACACGAGTCAGAAGAAAATAAAACAAACACGAGTCAGAGGAAAACAAAACAAACACGAGTCAGAAGAAAACAAAACAAACACGAGTCAGAGAAAAACAATACAAACACGAGTCAGAAGAAAACAAAACATCAGTTGAAGTTTAAAGTGAGTAGCGCTGCAGCTAACAGCGTGCTAGCCTTTAAGCTAGCTGTTAGCATGAACGTACCTGCAGGAGCTCGAAGTAGTGCATACAGTGGTAAACTGGGACCATCATGAGCTGTGGGAGGACGTACTGGACGGCTTCTTTGAAGCCTTCAGCCACCGACTGCAGACACAAACACAACCTGTCAGAGACCGCCCACATTACCACATGCTCTATCCTCCGGTTAGGCTAGCGGAGAGAGGAACGCCAGCAAAGAGCCGAGGACGGATTCAAACCCTCCAAGGCCTCTGTACATTGGGCGCATGTCATAACCGCGCCCTCTCACTTAACAAAGTGATGAAAGAATGAAAAAAAAGTGTCCAATGACAGGCTCCGGTTGTTATTTAATTTGTGACATCATGAGCAAAAGGACACACACACACACACACACACACACACACACACACACACACACACACACACACACACACACACACACACACACACACACACACACACACACACACACACACACACACACACACACACACACACACACACACACACACACACACACACACACACACACACACACACACACACACACACACACACACACACACACACACACACACACACACACACACACAGGCCCCAGTGTGGCCGCTGCGTGAGTATTGATTGTGAGTGGTCTATCAGGGGAACAGAGATTTAAATGGATCCTCTAACGGCCTCTTCTCCGGTTACTCTGAAGCTGCCTCGCCCTCCAGCACGCCGCGTCATCTCGCTCAGCCGTGTGTGTGTGTGTGTGTGTGTGTGTGTGTGTGTGTGTGTGTGTGTGTGTGTGTGTGTGTGTGTGTGTGTGTGTGTGTGTGTGTGTGTGTGAAATAAACTGACCTGAGTTTAGACGTGTTTGATGTTTCTGGAAAGTACCAGAATGACCCTTTACCCCCCCCCCCCCCCCGACACTGATAGCTCTCCATGTGAAAACATCTAAGGCTGCTGAGTGCTCCCCACCACGCAACACTCAAACATATTCATGTGAGGAATGTCCAAATAAAACAATGCAGACACAGCAACGTGTGTCATGACACGCCTCTGACCATATCAGGACGAGGTCGAAGACACGGGAACAAAGAATCAGACTGTAAACACACAAACTCTTTAAGATCAGGATCAAGAATAACAGGAAGGGCGAGAGAGAGAGGACGAGAGAGAGAGAGAGAGAGAGAGAGTTCACTGACAGGCTCCACCCATGTGTGAGTATCTCACCTGGAAGTAGAGGCCAGCGGTCGGTCGGGCCATCAGGTTGTTGAAGTGCTTGTGGAAATCTTTACTGAGGATGTCCTGGGACAGAGTCTCATAGGGGTCGAACGCCTGCTCCTGTACACACACACACACACACACACACACACACACACACACACACACACACACACACACACACACACACACACACACACACACACACACACACACACACACACACACACACACACACACACACACACACACACACACAGTTTTACACTCTAACGGAGGCTGAAACACACACATGCACAAACAGGATCCTCTGGACATACACTAATGGAGAGGTCTCAGAGTGGGGGGGGGGGCCACAGCGAGCGCTCCAGAGCAGTTCTGGGGTTCGGTGCCTTGCTCAAGGGCACCTCGGCAGTGAACAGGAAGTGGACAGGCACCTCTCCAGCTACCAGACCAGATTACAGTCTTGAACCGGCGACCCTCTGATTCTCGAGTCCCTACAGACTGAGCTGCTGCCCCATGTGACGCTCAGCATGAAGGTTTCAGGTGTGAATGTTCGATTCCCGTGTAACAGTCGAGATATTCAGGGCGTTACTGCGAGGTAACCATGAGGAGGAAGTGAAGGTTTGTTTGGTTTGTAACTTCTCACCTCTGCGAGATCCTCGAAGCAGCTGCCCACCAGAGGATGAGGGCTGCCATCCGCTGTCATCTCCACGGCATCCTCGATCAGCCCGAGCAGCTTCACCGTCAGCTCGTGGATGTCCAGGATGTTACTGAAGATCACCTCCACGTCCTGCACACAATCAGCTGATTACATACTCTGTCTCTGAGCGGGCAGGAAGCTTTAACATGGAAACAGGAAGTCACCGTAACATTAGACTTTAGAGCGCCGTCTCACTCTGACCACGATCATTAAGATCTATTCACTTCACTTCTACACAAAGCCTGTGCACGCCGTCAGAGCGTCGGTAGGCCCGTGCGTTTAGCATGAAGGAAGCTAACAGCAACCCGTCTGAATCTGACCCGCCACGAGTCACGCTGCGTCTGTTTCCCCCTGAGCCCCTAACCGCCAACGACCCCGCCCAGAAAGGATACCTCCAACGACCCCGCCCAGAAAGGATACCTCCAACGACCCCGCCCAGAAAGGATACCTCCAACGACCCCGCCCAGAAAGGATACCGCTGGGGCGCGCTGGTGGTGCAATGGTTAGGGCGCGCGTCCCATGTGTTGAGACTCTCATCTCGAGCAGTAGTCCCAGGTTCACTTCCACCCGTGGCCTCTTTCCGCATGTCATTCCCCGCTCTCTCTCTCTCTCTGGTTTCAGACTCTATCCACTGTCCTCTCTCTCTCTCTGGTTTCTGACTCTATCCACTGTCCTCTCTCTCTCTCTCTGGTTTCAGACTCTATCCACTGTCCTCTCTCTCTCTCTGGTTTCTGACTCTATCCACTGTCCTCTCTCTCTCTGGTTTCAGACTCTATCCACTGTCCTCTCTCTCTCTCTGGTTTCAGACTCTATCCACTGTCCTCTCTCTCTCTCTGGTTTCAGACTCTATCCACTGTCCTCTCTCTCTCTCTGGTTTCTGACTCTATCCACTGTCCTCTCTCTCTCTGGTTTCAGACTCTATCCACTGTCCTCTCTCTCTCTGGTTTCAGACTCTATCCACTGTCCTCTCTCTCTCTGGTTTCAGACTCTATCCACTGTCCTCTCTCTCTCTGGTTTCTGACTCTATCCACTGTCCTCTCTCTCTCTCTGGTTTCAGACTCTATCCACTGTCCTCTCTCTCTCTGGTTTCAGACTCTATCCACTGTCCTCTCTCTCTCTGGTTTCTGACTCTATCCACTGTCCTCTCTCTCTCTCTCTGGTTTCTGACTCTATCCACTGTCCTCTCTCTCTCTCTCTGGTTTCAGACTCTATCCACTGTCCTCTCTCTCTCTGGTTTCAGACTCTATCCACTGTCCTCTCTCTCTCTGGTTTCTGACTCTATCCACTGTCCTCTCTCTCTCTCTCTGGTTTCAGACTCTATCCACTGTCCTCTCTCTCTCTCTCTGGTTTCAGACTCTATCCACTGTCCTCTCTCTCTGGTTTCTGACTCTATCCACTGTCCTCTCTCTCTGGTTTCTGACTCTATCCACTGTCCTCTCTCTCTGGTTTCTGACTCTATCCACTGTCCTCTCTCTCTGGTTTCTGACTCTATCCACTGTCCTCTCTCTCTCTCTCTGGTTTCAGACTCTATCCACTGTCCTCTCTCTCTCTGGTTTCTGACTCTATCCACTGTCCTCTCTCTCTGGTTTCAGACTCTATCCACTGTCCTCTCTCTCTCTCTGGTTTCTGACTCTATCCACTGTCCTCTCTCTCTCTGGTTTCTGACTCTATCCACTGTCCTCTCTCTCTCTGGTTTCAGACTCTATCCACTGTCCTCTCTCTCTCTGGTTTCAGACTCTATCCACTGTCCTCTCTCTCTCTGGTTTCTGACTCTATCCACTGTCCTCTCTCTCTCTCTGGTTTCAGACTCTATCCACTGTCCTCTCTCTCTCTGGTTTCAGACTCTATCCACTGTCCTCTCTCTCTCTGGTTTCTGACTCTATCCACTGTCCTCTCTCTCTCTCTGGTTTCAGACTCTATCCACTGTCCTCTCTCTCTCTGGTTTCTGACTCTATCCACTGTCCTCTCTCTCTCTGGTTTCTGACTCTATCCACTGTCCTCTCTCTCTCTGGTTTCAGACTCTATCCACTGTCCTCTCTCTCTCTGGTTTCTGACTCTATCCACTGTCCTCTCTCTCTCTCTGGTTTCAGACTCTATCCACTGTCCTCTCTCTCTCTGGTTTCAGACTCTATCCACTGTCCTCTCTCTCTCTGGTTTCTGACTCTATCCACTGTCCTCTCTTTGGGCACGAAAAGCCCAAAAAATAAATCTTAAAAAAATAAGAAAGGATACCGCCAACGACCCCGTCAAGAAATGGTACCTCCATGGCTCTGATTGGCTGAGAGAGTATTTATTAACCCTTTAGGGGTCAGTAGTGTTTCCTCACCTGAGGCGTGAAGATCTTGGTGTTGGACAGGAAGTGATGGCGAAACACTTTGATGATGAGGTCGAGCTCTCGCAGGTACTGGCGCTCCTCGGCGATCTCCAGCCTCACCAGGTCGTCGTACGTGAGCTCGCCGGAGGAGGACGGCTCGTCCGTGCACTGAGACATCAGACCGATATCCTCCTCCTGGTCGAACATGTCCATGAGCACCTGAACACACCATCAGGTTAGAGGTCACAGAAACACCTGAAGGCATCACACCTGTAGCCCCGCCTCCTTACCTTGTCAGCGCACATGGACACCTTGATGTCCTGCTGGCTGATCTCATAGTGACGGATGTTGCCCACGTAGTTTCCCGCCAGTTTGAGAATGTCGGCTGATATGTACTCGAGCACCGCCACGATGTACAGCGAGACGTGGTAGTCCACTTTGTAGCCCAACACTTCCTGTTGGAGGAAGAAACAAGAGGTGTGAGTAGAGTTACCTGCAGCCTGTTGTTAGAAAGGGGACGTGTCCTGTTGTTAGAAAGGGGACGTGTCCTGTTGTTAGAAAGGGAACGTGTCCTGAGGTTAGAAAGGGGACGTGTCCTGTGGTTAGAAAGGGGACGTGTCCTGTGGTTAGAAAAGGGGCGTGTCCTGAGGTTAGAAAGGGGACATGTCCTGTTGTTAGAAAGGGGACGTGTCCTGAGGTTAGAAAGGGGACGTGTCCTGTTGTTAGAAAGGGGACGTGTCCTGTTGTTAGAAAGGGGACGTGTCCTGAGGTTAGAAAGGGGACGTGTCCTGTGGTTAGAAAAGGGGCGTGTCCTGAGGTTAGAAAGGGGACGTGTACTGTGGTTAGAAAAGGGGCATGTCCTGAGGTTAAAAAGGGGATGTGTCCTGTGGTTAGAAAAGGGGCGTGTCCTGAGGTTAGAAAGGGGACGTGTCCTGTGGTTAGAAAGGGGACGTGTCCTGTGGTTAGAAAAGGGGCGTGTCCTGAGGTTAGAAAGGGGACGTGTCCTGTTGTTAGAAAGGGGACGTGTCCTGAGGTTAGAAAGGGGACGTGTCCTGTTGTTAGAAAGGGGACGTGTCCTGAGGTTAGAAAGGGGACGTGTCCTGTGGTTAGAAAAGGGGCGTGTCCTGAGGTTAGAAAGGGGACGTGTCCTGTGGTTAGAAAAGGGGCGTGTCCTGAGGTTAGAAAGGGGACGTGTCCTGTGGTTAGAAAAGGGGCGTGTCCTACCTTGAGCAGGGGGTGGATCTTGTCCACGGGGAGCAGTAAGGGGTTTCTCCTCTTGCGTTTCTCGATGGCTGACTGAGCGTCGGCGATTGCCCACTTATCTATCGGGTGTGGGAAGGTTTTCTGGACGCGTTCCTGCAGAGACAGAAACATTTACTGTAGTTGACTGAAGGATTAAATCCATCATATGACAGGTTGAGAGTATAGAATCAGGTTAAATAGAGCTGCAGATAGAATCAGGTTAAATAGAGCTGCACCTCCACGTCCTGCACGGAGCGAGGCTGGGCCACACACAGCATGTTGAGCAGCTGCAGGATCAACTCCTCGATGTGCTGCAGGGCGTCCTCCTTAGCCAGGAGGTTAGGGTGGACCTGCTTCTGCACCTGAAGAGAGAGAGAGAGGGGGGAGAGAGACAGGGAGAGAGAGAGAGAGACAGAGAGACAGAGAGAGAGAGAGAGAGAGAGTGATGATAGAGCTCCTGTATTCTGGTTCTATAAACAGCTGGTGTCAGACATCTTAGTGAGGCTCAGGTCCCTTTAGTCTGACCTGCAGCCCCCCCTCTCTCTCTCTTATACTTTGAAACCCACAGACTGAAACCCTAACCCCCCCCCCAGGACAGAGAAATCTCCTCCACTCCAGCTCAAAGGGAAAAAACATGATCTATGAAGCTGTCCAGTCAGCGTCTCCTGTGGGTGGAACCAGACCCACAGAAGGTGTGGCATCATCAGGCCCCTCCCCCTTACCCATCGTCAGGTCTACATGTGGAAACCCCTCCCCCTTACCCATCATCAGGTCTACATGTGGAAGCCCCTCCCCCTTACCCACCCTACAGTGTGCAGTCAGTCGGGCCGTGCCCTCGTGCAGGAATGCTGTCAGTTGAGATACTCTTATAGCAGCAAACACAGACTCGGAGAAGGTGGATCCAAAGACAGCCTCACAAAAGGCGGTCCTGTTCACACGCTGCTGATGGAATTACCCCGGCGTGCAGTCGAGCGGGGCGTCATGATGTCACCACGTTGCCCCCGGATGAAGGAATGTGAGACGAGAGTAGAAAGGTCAACACAGACAGAGTTCATGCATTCCTCAGCTCTGACTTCACTCAGGATGTCCCCTCCACTTTCAGATCAAACTCACTCGGGGGGGGGGGGGGAGCACCCTCTCTGCACGTCTCTCTACGTCATCTCTGTTTGGATGCACGCTCACAAGACCCTGCCGTTATAAATACTCCCGGGTATGAAGACAGACTCTTCAAAGCAGAAGTGATAGATCCTTTGGACCACAAATAGACACCAGGAGCAGTGAGTCACCACGCTGAAACCACGGGGGTTTCCCTTCTCGACATTCACACAACAGTTAGTGGACTACCTCCAACAGGGTCAGGACAAGAGGCCGACAGGAACACAAACATCTGAATGTAATCAGAAGAAAGTCAAAGAGAACAAACCCTGAAACACTGCAAACACGTTTGAAAATACTTCATCAATCACCAACAAACTAAAGTGCTCTGTAGAGAATGAACCTTCTGATCAGAACTTAAAGGTCCAATCAGTGAGCTGTGTAGAGAGTGAGATGATAAAGGTATCTTACTCTCTGATCATTAAGGAAACATGCTATGTTGAAGTGCTGGCTTCTCTGACAACAATGCAGCAGCCAGTATGTCCTCCTTCTAACTTTAGATTCTGCTCCTGAATGCTCTGGATTTGTTTGGACCAGAGAAGGTAGGCGCTTTTAAGACACGCCCCCACACGGCCGTTTTGGACGCCCCTCGGTTTGACAGATATGAGAGCAGTTATCAGGTCAACAGGTGTTGCAGCGATGGAAGCGGGCAAGAGAAGTGGCTCAGATAGAAGTGATTGTACCCGACCTAAAAAGCTGATTTCTGATTCTGTCCGTGTGTCTTTTGTCTCAGACTTGATCTCTGTCCTGTGGTTCCCCAGACAGTCTAGTTGTAATGGCAGATGATGTCATGGCATGAATCAACAGTGACACATGCTCGGGTATAATAACTGATGCAGCCCCGTACACAGCCGGCACAATAATCAATTGAATTAGAAACGTTAACCTTGAATTAATGCCGTCCAGCTTCTGATTGTTACCTCAGTCTCTACGCCTCCTTCACCAACACGAGCAGCACGCACGCACACAAATTAAAAACATTCATCTCTTCCCGTCACTGACTTTCTGAACAAAAACTGACCTACATCTTCATTGTGTGTGTGTGTGTGTGTGTGTGTGTGTGTGTGTGTGTGTGTGTGTGTGTGTGTGTGTGGTGAGCAGGTGAATCTGTTGGCTTCTTAAAGTTGTGATAGACGATGATGTATTTGCAGACAGATTTTCATTCTTTAAATGTTGTTTCCATAAATCGGTCATGAGTCTCATTAACTACTAATAATCAGCACGGGCTGAAAAACAGACCGTAATAGTATATAGAATATAATAAAAATATTGATACTTGGCAGCCATGAATCATGCTGTATACATTTCCCCCCCACACATCAGTGCTTCCTTACTTTCTCTGCAGAGAGTCACACAAAACAGAGAGCTGAGAGTTTCACCTCCACCATGCAGAGGACTACAGAGGACTCTCCTTAAAGAGATCTGTGAACAACCTCCTCTCTCTTCTTCCTCCTCTCTCTTCCTCCTCCTCTCGCTCTGCTCTTCCTCCTCTCTCTTCTTCCTCCTCTCGATCTCCTCCTCTCCCTCCTCTCTCTCTCCTCTTCCTCCTCTCGCTCTCCTCCTCTCCCTTCCTCTCCTCCTCCTCCCTTCCTCCTCCTCTCGCTCTTCTTCCTCCTCTCTCTTCCTCCTCCTCTCGCTCTCCTCTTCCTCCTCCTCTCTCTTCTTCCTCCTCCTCCTCCCTCCTCTCTCTTCTTCCTCCTCTCGCTCTGCTCTTCCTCCTCTCTCTTCTTCCTCCTCTCCCTCTCCTCCTCTCTCTCCCCCTCCCCCTCCTCTATGGACAGCTGTGAAGAACAGCGAGTCACGGTCTGTCAGAACCATAACAAACCATCTCCTGCGTCAGTCTCTGACAGGCTTTCCCCGCGGCGGTTGTGTAACAAGTTGAGGCAAAGCGACGGCGGCCCAGCAGCCCAGCAGCCCACCACCTGCTCTCACGGTTTCACCTGATTCATCTCAGCTGTGTGGCGTCTCACTGACAGAATCACCACATGGTCCATGCTACACTATCAAGAACCTTTCAAATTTACACTTTAACTGAGGAGGTCCAACCGGCTGCTACAGAACATCAAGTCAAACATATGGGCAGCGCAGACGACCCACCATGTGCAGAGACGTGAGGAGGTGGTCACATTATGTCTACACCACCGACATGTTAGCTCACTGTGCGTTAGCGTCGCTTTGCACACGGCATGAAACGGATTTGTGTGTGAGAGATCGGCACAAAATCACCTATACTCGTGAGGACCGGCCAGTCAGGTGAAAACCAGAATCAAAGAGGGAGACCGTTCTCTACAAAACATTCAAATCCTTGTTTTAAATACTTTTCATTTTAACGAGGAAAGATAAGTCGTGTTCTTCCATGATTTAGTTCCCCTGTTCGGCTCTCTTTCATTCCTCTTCTTGTTGCTTTGATGCTCATCGTATTCTACTTTCACTGTCGCAGAGCATCGACCTTTAAAAAGGCTGAGGCTGAACACAGTTTTACAGAACATGATGCAGAAAAAAGCAGACAATGAAGGTTTATCTGGGGACGCAGATGGCCTAGCGGTTAGGTTCGGCCCTTCGTGCAGTCCTCCCAGCAACTGACAGGTCACACGTCTAAGAGGTTACACGTCTGACGTCTGAGAGGTTACACGTCTGACGTGTTACACGTCTGACAGGTTACACGTCTGAGAGGTTACACGTCTGAGAGGTTACACGTCTGACATGTCACACGTCTGAGAGGTTACACGTCTGACGTCTGAGAGGTTACATGTCTGACGTGTTACACGTCTGAGAGGTTACACGTCTGAGAGGTTACACGTCTGACATGTCACACGTCTGAGAGGTTACACGTCTGAGAGGTTACACGTCTGACGTCTGAGAGGTTACACGTCTGACCTGTTACACGTCTGAGAGGTTACACGTCTGAGAGGTTACACGTCTGACAGGTTACACGTCTGAGAGGTTACACGTCTGACGTCTGAGAGGTTACACGTCTGAGAGGTTACACGTCTGAGAGGTCACACGTCTGACAGGTTACACGTCTGACGTGTTACACGTCTGAGAGGTTACACGTCTGAGAGGTTACACGTCTGACGTCTGAGAGGTTACACGTCTGAGAGGTTACACGTCTGAGAGGTTACACGTCTGAACACAGTTTTACAGAACATGATGCAGAAAAAAAGCAGACAATGAAAGTTTATCTGGGGACGCAGATGGCCTAGCGGTTAGGTTCGGCCCTTCGTGCAGTCCTCCCAGCAACTGACAGGTCACACGTCTAAGAGGTTACACGTCTGACGTCTGAGAGGTTACACGTCTGACGTGTTACACGTCTGACAGGTTACACGTCTGAGAGGTTACACGTCTGAGAGGTTACACGTCTGACATGTCACACGTCTGAGAGGTTACACGTCTGACGTCTGAGAGGTTACACGTCTGACGTGTTACACGTCTGAGAGGTTACACGTCTGACAGGTTACACGTCTGAGAGGTTACACGTCTGACGTCTGAGAGGTTACACGTCTGACCTGTTACACGTCTGAGAGGTTACACGTCTGACAGGTTACACGTCTGAGAGGTTACACGTCTGACGTCTGAGAGGTTACACGTCTGAGAGGTTACACGTCTGAGAGGTCACACGTCTGAGAGGTCACACGTCTGAGAGGTCACACGTCTGACATGTTACACGTCTGACATGTTACACGTCTGACATGTTACACGTCTGACATGTTACACGTCTGAGAGGTTACACGTCTGACAGGTTACACGTCTGACGTGTTACACGTCTGACGTCTGAGAGGTTACACGTCTGAGAGGTTACACGTCTGACAGGTTACACGTCTGAGAGGTTACACGTCTGACGTCTGAGAGGTTACACGTCTGACGTGTTACACGTCTGAGAGGTTACACGTCTGAGAGGTTACACGTCTGAGAGGTCACACGTCTGAGAGGTCACACGTCTGACAGGTTACACGTCTGACATGTTACACGTCTGAGAGGTTACACGTCTGACAGGTTACACGTCTGACAGGTTACACGTCTGACGTGTTACACGTCTGACGTGTTACACGTCTGAGAGGTTACACGTCTGACGTCTGAGAGGTTACACGTCTGAGAGGTTACACGTCTGAGAGGTCACACGTCTGAGAGGTCACACGTCTGAGAGGTCACACGTCTGACGTGTTACACGTCTGACAGGTCACACGTCTGACAGGTCACACGTCTGACAGGTTACACGTCTGAGAGGTCACACGTCTGACAGGTCACACGTCTGAGAGGTCACACGTCTGACGTGTTACACGTCTGAGAGGTTACACGTCTGAGAGGTCACACGTCTGACAGGTCACACGTCTGACAGGTCACACGTCTGAGAGGTCACACGTCTGACAGGTCACACGTCTGACAGGTCACACGTCTGACAGGTTACACGTCTGAGAGGTCACACGTCTGACGTGTTACACGTCTGACAGGTCACACGTCTGAGAGGTTACACGTCTGAGAGGTCACACGTCTGACATGTTACACGTCTGAGAGGTTACACGTCTGAGAGGTCACACGTCTGAGAGGTCACACGTCTGACAGGTCACACGTCTGACAGGTCACACGTCTGAGAGGTCACACGTCTGACAGGTCACACGTCTGACAGGTCACACGTCTGACAGGTTACACGTCTGACGTGTTACACGCCTGAGAGGTCACACGTCTGACAGGTCACACGCCTGAGAGGTCACACGTCTGACAGGTCACACGCCTGAGAGGTCACACGTCTGACGTGTTACACGTCTGAGAGGTTACACGTCTGAGAGGTCACACGTCTGACAGGTCACACGTCTGACAGGTCACACGTCTGACAGGTTACACGTCTGAGAGGTCACACGTCTGACGTGTTACACGTCTGACAGGTTACACGTCTGACAGGTCACACGCCTGAGAGGTCACACGCCTGAGAGGTTACACGTCTGACAGGTCACACGTCTGACGTGTTACACGTCTGAGAGGTTACACGTCTGACGTGTTACACGTCTGACGTGTTACACGTCTGAGAGGTTACACGTCTGACGTGTTACACGTCTGAGAGGTTACACGTCTGAGAGGTCACACGTCTGAGAGGTCACACGTCTGACAGGTCACACGTCTGACAGGTCACACGTCTGAGAGGTTACACGTCTGACGTGTTACACGTCTGAGAGGTTACACGTCTGACGTGTTACACGTCTGACGTGTTACACGTCTGAGAGGTTACACGTCTGACGTGTTACACGTCTGAGAGGTTACACGTCTGACATGTTACACGTCTGACGTGTTACACGTCTGACGTGTTACACGTCTGAGAGGTCACACGTCTGAGAGGTCACACGTCTGACAGGTCACACGTCTGACAGGTCACACGTCTGAGAGGTTACACGTCTGACGTGTTACACGTCTGACGTGTTACACGTCTGAGAGGTTACACGTCTGACGTGTTACACGTCTGACGTGTTACACGTCTGAGAGGTTACACGTCTGACGTGTTACACGTCTGAGAGGTTACACGTCTGAGAGGTTACACGTCTGAGAGGTCACACGTCTGAGAGGTCACACGTCTGACGTGTTACACGTCTGAGAGGTCACACGTCTGAGAGGTCACACGTCTGAGAGGTCACACGTCTGACGTGTTACACGTCTGAGAGGTCACACGTCTGAGAGGTCACACGTCTGACAGGTTACACGTCTGACGTGTTACACGTCTGACAGGTCACACGTCTGACAGGTCACACGTCTGACAGGTTACACGTCTGACAGGTCACAGGTCTGACAGGTTACACGTCTGACAGGTCACACGTGTGACAGGTTACACGTCTGAGAGGTTACACGTCTGACATGTTACACGTCTGACAGGTTACACGTCTGACAGGTCACACGTCTGAGAGGTCACACGTCTGACGTGTTACACGTCTGAGAGGTTACACGTCTGACATGTCACACGTCTGAGAGGTCACACGTCTGACAGGTCACACGTCTGACAGGTCACACGTCTGAGAGGTTACACGTCTGACGTGTTACACGTCTGACGTGTTACACGTCTGAGAGGTTACACGTCTGACGTGTTACACGTCTGACGTGTTACACGTCTGAGAGGTTACACGTCTGACGTGTTACACGTCTGAGAGGTTACACGTCTGAGAGGTTACACGTCTGAGAGGTCACACGTCTGAGAGGTCACACGTCTGACGTGTTACACGTCTGAGAGGTCACACGTCTGAGAGGTCACACGTCTGAGAGGTCACACGTCTGACGTGTTACACGTCTGAGAGGTCACACGTCTGAGAGGTCACACGTCTGACAGGTTACACGTCTGACGTGTTACACGTCTGACAGGTCACACGTCTGACAGGTCACACGTCTGACAGGTTACACGTCTGACAGGTCACAGGTCTGACAGGTTACACGTCTGACAGGTCACACGTGTGACAGGTTACACGTCTGAGAGGTTACACGTCTGACATGTTACACGTCTGACAGGTTACACGTCTGACAGGTCACACGTCTGACAGGTTACACGTCTGACAGGTTACACGTCTGACAGGTCACACGTGTGACAGGTTACACGTCTGAGAGGTTACACGTCTGACAGGTTACACGTCTGACAGGTCACACGTCTGAGAGGTTACACGTCTGAGAGGTTACACGTCTGAACACAGTTTTACAGAACATGATGCAGGGAAAAAAGCAGACAATGAAGGTTTATCTGGAGACGCAGATGGCCTAGCATCTGACATCTTACACGTCTGACATGTTACAAGCCTGACAGGTCACACGCCTGACGTGTTACACGTCTGACGTGTTACATGTCTGAGGAAAGAGAAAATTAAGTCTGTGATGACAGCAAGAAACCAAGATGATGCAAGAAAAGGGTGCGAGAGGGCCACTCAAAAAGGAACTGTTCCTGCTGACCAACAACATTCAAGTCCAAATATTTCCTGTCCTTGAACTTTCAACCAGCGTCACAGGAATAACATTAGATTTCTTTTTAAAAGCTCATGTGTAAGAATCATCAAACTACAGAGGAACTACAGAGGAAGGTCTGTTTCAATACTGTGAAAGGATGAGACATCGAATGAGGAACAAACAAAGACACAAACAGTAACACACACACATCTGAGCATGTGTGTGTAACGGAGCCCGACAGTATCACCAGGACAGCTTCACTCAAATTCAATTGAAAAGGTGTCAAACCAACTCCCTGCTAGTGTTAGTGTGAACATCGTAACTATGAAACATGGCAGTTAACAGCTTGACAGTCAACAGTTCAAAAACTGTACAATGTTGGGCAACTTCTTCAAAAGCAGGGTGGGAAAAAGTCTTAATAGGGAAGTTGTGTGAGAGACTTATTTTAATAAACTGTAAGTGGAGGAGTCAGCAGCCAAACAGGAGGAGGGCAGCAGGTCGTACACTCCAAAAAACTGATTTTAATTCAGTTTAACGGAGGAATTAACTGCTGCTCGGAGTCACAATATGTTACATACAGGACCTGTGTGTGTGTGTGTGTGTGTGTGTGTGTGTGTGTGTGTGTGTGTGTGTGTGTGTGTTGAGTATGAGCTGCAGATAAATCCATGTCTGTGGTCGGTCATTAAGGGAATGTGTGTTTGAGTGATGCTCGTACCTTCCGTAAAGCTTGCACGAACAGGCCTCTCCATTTGTGGCTGTTCTCTTCACTGGAGAAGTCGTAGATCTGCTGAGGCTGCATGCTGGAGCGGCTCCTCCGGGCTGGACTGTCAGCATCGGCCCCGGGTAGAGAGTCCCTGTGGGCGGGTCAGTCCGGTCCAGACAGGCACGGTGGGAAAAGTCAACCCGTCTTACGTGTTAATATTAAAAGTGTCAGGAAAGCACAGCAGGAGTCCGGTGATGAGTCGTTATCTCCAAACGAAAACAAGCACATGTAGCTCTGAAGTTCGTTAGCTTGGAGGCTAACTGAGGCTAGCTCTGCTGCTGTAAACACGGGACAGCGGCTAACTACAGAGCTAACGGCTAATAACAATGTTGCTAAGTGTTATACTTGCTACTTGGCATTTGCTTTAAATCTTTTAACAGGCACATTAAGTTATGTATTAAGTCACAACATGCTAGCTCAGCTAACTGACAGCTAACTACAGCTACAAGTGATGTTTGGTTATTTGCTGCCTTAACACCTGTAACGCTAGCAGGCTAACATTAGCCGACTAGCTGAGCAGTGCTACAGGCTGCTGCTGGCCTTGATGGATCCGAGTTTGATGTTTTATGTCGCGGCGTTCGAGCCGTTCTGCTCCGAACAAGGCACACTTTCTCCCGCGCTGCTCCCTTCACATGTAATCATCTTCTTCTCCGGGGAGTTCAGGCGCTAAATCCAACGAAAAGCCCCCAAACGGCGGCCGATCCGCGGCATGTCTGCGGGCAGAGCAGCCGAACTGTTTTTGGTTTGAGAAGTCGAAGATGTTCGAACAAACTCCTCTGCTGTCTGCTGCTGCTGCTCGGGATGATCGCTGATTGGAGAAAGAGTCGCTTCTTCGAGCCGACTCTTTTAAATAAGCGAAGGGAACCGACTCCTGATTTCTTTCTAATTCTCTTTTTAAGTTTTTGTAAATTACTACCAGCTGAAGTAAAGTGGTGATCACTTAACATTAAATATTAATAAATAACATCCAGAGGCTCGTCATGCAGGCAGCTGCTGGGGGCCCCTGACAAGTAGGGGGGCCCTACAAAATTTAAACCACAGCAGTGGCCCAATATGTGCAAAGTTTGCAATGACAGTATTAAACCTCCCTAATGGTTTGTGATTCTATCCACTGTCCTCTCTCTGCATTAAAGGCATGAAAAGCCCAAAATAAATCTTTAAAAAAATAAAAAATCAACATTACGCATTTTAGTTTTGATGTTGGATTAGTTCTGACCTCATGCTGATGAGAGCTGATTGGTGGGTCATCAAGTCTCAAGAATCACGGCTGCATTTATCAACAGAGCAGAAATGTTCAGTCCTAAACTAAAGTCCACTTGATAATTACTATCACTAACAAGTTTAAAGGATTCAAACTAAATCAGGTCCAGTCATCAGTCAGGAGGAGCTGTGTGATGGATCAACTGGTGACTCTTTAATCAAGGACGAGTCAAAAGATCTGAGTCACTGAAATGATCCGAACTTCTCATCACCACTTTCTGCCGTCACGGTCACAGTTGATTGGACAGAGAAAGAAACAGGCTGGACTTCTGTGTCATTACAGACTGGAGACCCTAAACTGCAGACTAAAGACCCTAAACTGGAGACTGGAGACCCTAAACTGGAGACTGGAGACCCTGAACTGCAGACTAAAGACCCTAAACTGCAGACTGGAGACCCTAAACTGGAGACTGGAGACCCTGAACTGGAGACCCTAAACTGCAGACTAAAACCCTGAACTGCAGACTAAAGACCCTGAACTGCAGACTGGAGACCCTAAACTGGAGACCCTAAACTGCAGACTAAAGACCCTAAACTGCAGACTGGAGACCCTAAACTGGAGACTGGAGACCCTAAACTGGAGACCCTAAACTGCAGACTAAAGACCCTGAACTGCAGACTAAAGACCCTGAACTGCAGACTAAAGACCCTAAACTGCAGACTGGAGACCCTGAACTGGAGACCCTAAACTGCAGACTGGAGACCCTAAACTGCAGACTGTAGACCCTGAACTGGAGACTAAAGACCCTGAACTGGAGACTAAAGACCCTGAACTGCAGACTAAAGACCCTGAACTGGAGACCCTGAACTGGAGACCCTGAACTGCAGACTAAAGACCCTGAACTGCAGACTAAAGACCCTAAACTGCAGACTAAAGACCCTGAACTGCAGACTAAAGACCCTGAACTGGAGACCCTGAACTGGAGACCCTGAACTGCAGACTGGAGACCCTGAACTGGAGACCCTAAACTGCAGACTGGAGACCCTGAACTGGAGACCCTGAACTGCAGACTGGAGACCCTGAACTGGAGACCCTAAACTGCAGACTGGAGACCCTGAACTGGAGACCCTAAACTGCAGACTGGAGACCCTGAACTGCAGACTAAAGACCCTAAACTGCAGACTAAAGACCCTGAACTGCAGACTAAAGACCCTGAACTGGAGACCCTGAACTGGAGACCCTGAACTGCAGACTGGAGACCCTGAACTGGAGACCCTGAACTGCAGACTGGAGACCCTGAACTGGAGACCCTGAACTGCAGACTGGAGACCCTGAACTGGAGACCCTGAACTGCAGACAGACCTTCATATTTACAGTCTCTCTGAGACAGACAGATGGAGGGAGGAGGAGGACAGTTGGAGGATCGCAGCTCAAAAATGTCTTTGTGTTTTGTTCTGTTGTGATTGAGCAGTGTTTCATAAAAAACTGAAAACATTGAAATGTTATCTGACGAGCAGGTGAAAAGAATTCTGCTTTATTGACATCATTAAACATGTTCGACCAGTAAAAACATGGCGGTCATGTCTGCTGCTGCCATTCTGCCTCCTAGTGGACAAACTGAGCCAGTGCACGATTCAGGAAACTGAAGAGTCAGCACAAAAGTCAAATGTTTATCAAGACTTTATTACAGAGCGATTACATCATCGCTTTAATCTTTTCATGGTTTGTTACAAACATCAGACATCGTTTGTCAAAAAGAATCTCTCATTGTAAAAAACAAACATTCCTCCGTCTCTAAATGTAGAAAAGAGAAAGTTAGAGATGTTCTAGAAACATTCTGAGACACTTTCATTAATCAAGAAGCACCAAACATCCCAGTGTCCTAAACCAGTTTGTCTTTATGTTACTATGGTGACTAGAATAATCAGGGAGCCAGTGGCCTAGTGGTTAGTTTGCACACTCCATGTACGGAGGCTGTAGTCCTGGTGGGCGGCCCGGGTCAGAGTCCGTCCCGTGTCTTTAATACAGTCATAAAAATAAATCTTTAAAGATAAAAAAGTGTCGAACAGCGTACGAAAAACTGTGCGTTCTGCAGCCACAACAGGAAGACGATCATTCTCTACTTCCTGTTTGAAACTTTAATAACAACATCGTTATAAACGTTAACTTCTCCTTAAAAAACCTTTCAGTTCACTTTTTGGATTTCTCTCTGTGCGATATTTAAACATTTTCATAGTCCCTCACTTCCACCCCCCGCCACAATAAAAGCTCATCCTTACCTCATTTCCACCCCCCGTCACAATAAAAGCTCATCCTTACCTCACTTCCACCCCCCGCCTCATTTCCACCCCCCGTCACAATAAAAGCTCATCCTTACCTCACTTCCACCCCACGCCACAATAAAAGCTCATCCTTACCTCACTTCCACCCCACGCCACAATAAAAGCTCATCCTTACCTCACTTCCACCCCCCGCCACAATAAAAGCTCATCCTTACCTCACTTCCACCCCCGTCACAATAAAGCTCATCCTTACCGCACTTCCACCCCCCGCCACAATAAAAGCTCATCCTTACCGCACTTCTACCCCCCGCCACAATAAAAGCTCATCCTTACCGCACTTCCACCCCCCGCCACAATAAAAGCTCATCCTTACCGCACTTCCACCCCCCGTCACAATGAAAGCTCATCCTTACCGCACTTCCACCCCCCGTCACAATAAAAGCTCATGTTATTCTATTGTCATGCTCTCTGCCTCCAGACTTGAAACATGGTGAGGAAAGATCTGTTGAAGTGAGTTTCCCCCTAAATTAAGGTTTGACCTCTGACCTGTAGGCTTGACCTCTGACCTGTCCTTTAAGAAACGGCTCGTTGCTGACGGTGAGTGGAGGTAGTGATATTCTGATGTTCAGGATTGATCGTATTGGGTTTTCCTTCCACGCTGTCTCTACAGCGTGAAGCGGCTCTCCACCTCGTCTGCAATCATCTCAGCGATGGCGAGGGAGGAGGTGGCTGCTGGCGAGGGGGCGTTACGCACGTGGAGAACCCGACTGCCCACGTCCCCGACTCCGCCATCAAACACAAAGTCGTCCACCAGGTTCCCGTCTCGATCGAGCGCCTGAGCCCGAACACCTGCAGGACCCCTGCAGAGAGAACAGGAAGTGAAGCCCACCTGACAGAAACGAGTTCACCTGAGGAGGTCAGACAGCAGCGTACCTGAGCACGTCTCCCAGACTCAGGTCAGGGATGTACTTCTGCAGGATTTTCACCTGAGCTCCAATAAAAACTCCTCGATACATTTCTCCGATTCCGTACGTCAAGTTTCTCATCACCAACTTCTGGAGACCTCTGCAGACACAAACACACATCAACCACCAGGGGGCTCCACCTCCTCGAGTGAGAGAGGGGCTCCACCTCCTCGAGTGAGAGAGGGGCTCCTCCTCGAGTGAGAGAGGGGCTCCTCCTCCTCGAGTGAGAGAGGGGCTCCTCCTCGAGGGAGGGGCTCCACCTCCTCGAGGGAAGGAGGGGCTCCTCCTCGAGGGAGGGGCTCCACCTCGAGGGAGGGAGGGGCTCCACCTCCTCGAGTGAGAGAGGAGCTCCTCTTCGAGGGAGGGAGGGGCTCCACCTCCTCGAGTGAGAGAGGGGCTCCACCTCCTCGAGTGAGGGAGGGGCTCCACCTACTCGAGTGAGGGAGGGGCTCCACCTCCTCGAGTGAGGGAGGGGCTCCACCTCCTCGAGTGAGAGAGGGGCTCCACCTCCTCGAGTGAGAGAGGAGCTCCTCCTCGAGGGAGGGGCTCCACCTCCTCGAGGGAGGGAGGGGCTCCACCTCCTCGAGTGAGAGAGGAGCTCCTCTTCGAGGGAGGGAGGGGCTCCACCTCCTCGAGTGAGGGAGGGGCTCCACCTCCTCGAGTGAGGGAGGGGCTCCACCTCCTCGAAGGAGAGAGGGGCTCCACCTCCTCGAAGGAGAGAGGGGCTCCACCTCCTCGAGGGAGGGGCTCCACCTCGAGGGAGGGAGGGGCTCCACCTCCTCGAGTGAGAGAGGGGCTCCACCTCCTCGAGTGAGAGAGGGGCTCCACCTCCTCGAGTGAGGGAGGGGCTCCACCTCCTCGAGGGAGAGAGGGGCTCCACCTCCTCGAGTGAGAGAGGGGCTCCACCTCCTCGAGTGAGGGAGGGGCTCCACCTCCTCGAGTGAGGGAGGGGCTCCACCTCCTCGAGTGAGGGAGGGGCTCCACCTCCTCGAAGGAGAGAGGGGCTCCACCTCCTCGAAGGAGAGAGGGGCTCCACCTCCTCGAGGGAGGGAGGGGCTCCACCTCCTCGAGTGAGGGAGGGGCTCCACCTCCTCGAGTGAGAGAGGGGCTCCACCTCCTCGAGTGAGGGAGGGGCTCCACCTCCTCGAGTGAGGGAGGGGCTCCTCCTACTCGAGGGAGGGGCTCCTCCTGGAGGGGGGGTCTCCTCCTCCAGCTCTTACATGACTGTGATCTCTCAGTTCACACGTCTTCATCATCATCACAGAAACAGGAAGCTGTTAGTCATCACGACTCGTTACCTGAACGAGAGGGCGTCCGCAAAATCTCGGGCGTTGAAGTCGTACACTTTGTAACCTTCTCTTTTGAAGGCCAGGACGGCGTTCGGGCCGAGCCACACGCTCCCGTCCATCCGTGGGGTGAAGTGAACGCCGAGGAACGGGAAACGAGGGTCAGGAACCTGCGAGAGGATTTGATGAATAAAACACAGAAAAGAGCCAGCAGGGGGCAGCACCTGTTCAAATACTGCCTCTAGTGGTCACTTCAGGAACTGACTCCAGTGGTGACCAGCAGGGGGCGCTGTGTGACTTACTGGGTAGATGTTTCCTTTGACCAGGTGGTGTTTCTCGGGCTTCAGGACTAAATAATCTCCTCTGAAGGGGACGATCCTCGGCTCACCGCTGCATCCTGACATCTGAGAGAGGCGGTCTGAGTACAGGCCTCCGCAGGTCAGGACGTACTGACAGTGCACCTCTCTGCCCTGGTCACACGGGTCAGGGGTCACACAAACACAAACATTAGAACATCAGAACACAGTTTGAAGGCAGAGGTTACCATGACGACCGTGTTTCTGACCTTCGTGTCTCTGATGGCGAGCGGATATTTCATTCCTGTGAAAGCAGAAGAGAAACATGACGCTTTGATCATCAACGTGTCCACGTGTCCAGCTCGTGATTCTCACCCTCGGCGCTCCCAGACGGGCTCTCGTTGACCGCGGCGATGTTGTTGACCTCAGAGTCCGTGAGCACCGTGCCGCCCGCCTCCTCAAAGTCTCTGCCGTATCTGAGCGCCACCATCCTCCAGTCCACGATGCCGGTGTACGGAGAATCCAACGCCATGATCCCCTGAAAGGACAACACGATGAAGTCTCTGCTCGCCATCTTTCCTCTGCACGCCGCTCGTCTCTGAGACTCTCACCCTGCAGTATGGCTCTCGCTCTCGGATCCCCTTAGCGTCCACGATACTCAGGTCTCGCACGTTGTTCTTCATGCCGCGCTCATACAGCGCCTTCAGCCGTGGGATCTCCTCCTGCTCCAACGCCACGATCAGCTGAGAAAACAGAAATAAACAACGTCACATCGTGTAGAAAGCCCCTCCCTCCAACGCCACGATCAGCCTGAGACGAGGTTATCTTATCTGAGACGGCTGGGCGAAGAAACACGAGCTGAACGATTCATTTCATCATGTGACCAATCAGAGAGCAGCGTTTGTCTCCTCTCGTGTCTGGATGAAGTGATCATGTGACCTTTAACCTTTCACAGCTTCATTGGTCTAAAGATAAACGAGTAACAGATCGTTGTAAACAGGCTCCTCTGCTCTGTTATTTATTTCTTTATATGTCACTTTATTCTTACTGATGATCCAGTGCTCGGGGGATTGGACAGGTTTCCTATGTGTCCTATGTTTGTGCTGTTGTTGTTTATGTGTTTGTCATATATTTGTATTTCAGAGACCTTCCCACATCGCTTGTAGGGCAGTCCTTTCTTCTCACAGTACTCGTACGCTAACGTGGCTCCTCGCACACACAGACGAGCCTTCAGAGAGCCCGGCGTGTAGTAGATCCCGCTGTGGATGACGCCACTGTTGTGTCCGCTCTGATGAAAGGCTGAGAGAGAGAGAGAGAGAAAGAGAGGGAGAGAGAGAGACTTTTAAACATCTCTGGATTCACATGAGATCTACGATCTGCTCCATGTGAATCAGTTCATGAACCTCTGCTAACAGGAAACAGAAATACACACGTTTGTCTCACCGTGGATTCAACAAGCAGCTCTCTCCTATGGCTGAGTTTAGACTGCAGTACCCATTTTAAACACTAGGTGTCAGAGTTACATACTGCTCCTTAAAGCCTGTGTCACATAAGGGAGATGGCTGTTTTCTCTCCGTTTGAATCTAAAGTTTGGAACCTCGAGGTGTGTTTCAGATTAACTGTCCTCCCTCTCTGGCAAACAACAACAACAACAGTTAAAACTCCACCCACCGAGCTCCTTCTCCTTCTCCAGCAGGACGAAGCTGAGGGTTGGGTGTCTCAGGATGAGCTCTCTGACTGTGGCCAGCCCAACAATGCCGCCGCCCACCACCGCCACGTCACACGTGCTGAAAGACAGACGACAGGCGTAAACATGAAAAAGCAGGGTCAACGTCCTACTGTCCACCACTGTCCCAGCAGCCCACCCACCTTTGGAACTAATCGTTAGACACATGAGTCTGCAGCACAAATCATATAATACTCACACCTGTTACCACGGCAACAAACACAGATGTCCTACACACCCAAGGAGGACTCTAACATGAGGACACTAACACAAGGACACTAACACAAGGACTCTAACACAAGGACACTAACACGAGGACACTAACACGAGGACACTAACACGAGGGCTCTAACACGAGGACACTGACACGAGGACTCTAACACGAGGACTCTAACACGAGGACACTAACACGAGGACACTAACACGAGGGCTCTAACACGAGGGCTCTAACACGAGGACACTGACACGAGGACTCTAACACGAGGACACTAACACGAGGACACTAACACGAGGACTCTAACACGAGGACACTAACACGAGGGCTCTAACACGAGGACACTAACACGAGGACACTAACACGAGGACACTAACACGAGGGCTCTAACACGAGGGCTCTAACACGAGGACACTGACACGAGGACTCTAACACGAGGACACTAACACGAGGACTCTAACACGAGAACTCTAACACGAGGGCTCTAACACGAGGACTCTAACACGAGAGCTCTAACACGAGGGCTCTAACACGAGGGCTCTAACACGAGAACTCTAACACGAGGACTCTAACACGAGAGCACTGACACGAGGGCTCTAACACGAGGGCTCTAACACGAGGACACTGACACGAGGACTCTAACACGAGGACACTAACACGAGGACTCTAACACGAGAACTCTAACACGAGGGCTCTAACACGAGGACTCTAACACGAGAGCTCTAACACGAGGGCTCTAACACGAGGGCTCTAACACGAGAACTCTAACACGAGGACTCTAACACGAGAGCACTGACACGAGGGCTCTAACACGAGAACTCTAACACGAGGACACTGACACGAGGACACTGACACGAGGACTCTGACACGAGAACTCTGACACGAGGACACTAACACGAGGACACTAACACGAGGGCTCTAACACGAGGACACTAACACAAGAACTCTAACACGAGGGCTCTAACACGAGGACACTAACACAAGAACTCTAACACGAGGGCTCTAACACGAGAACTCTAACACGAGGACACTAACACAAGAACTCTAACACGAGGGCTCTAACACGAGGACTCTAACACGAGAACTCTAACACGAGGGCTCTAACACGAGGACTCTAACACGAGGACACTAACACGAGAACTCTTAACACGAGGACACTAACACGAGGGCTCTAACACGAGGGCTCTAACACGAGGGCTCTAACACGAGAGCTCTAACACGAGAGCTCTAACACGAGGGCTCTAACACGAGGGCTCTAACACGAGGACTCTAACACGAGAGCTCTAACACGAGGGCTCTAACACGAGAGCTCTAACACGAGGGCTCTAACACGAGGACTCTAACACGAGGGCTCTAACACGAGGACTCTAACACGAGAGCTCTAACACGAGGGCTCTAACACGAGAGCTCTAACACGAGGGCTCTAACACGAGGACTCTAACACGAGGGCTCTAACACGAGGGCTCTAACACAAGGATGCAGAGCTGGAGGAACACGATGTTCGGAGAACATTTGTAAAGTGCCACTCGTAAACACAGCAGGAGACACGAGTACAGTCAACATCTTGTTTTCATTTCTGCTAATTAAAAACAGGAGGAGGAGGAGGAAGAGGAGGAGGAAGAAGAGAAGGAAGAGGAAGAGGAGGAGGAGGAGGAGGAGGAGGAGGAAGAGGAGGAGGAGGTAGAGGAGGAGGAAGAGACTAAAGTGTAAACAAACAAAGTGGAATATTGACCGTCCTGTGTTTGGACACATGTTACCACATCTGTATTTCACACTGTTTACTTTAGTCAAACTGCACACAGGTGATATTTATATGAGAGTGTGTGTGTGTGTGTGTGTGTGTGTGTGTGTGTGTGTGTGTGTGTGTGTGTGTGTGTGTGTGTTATGTCATCATAAAGACTTGTTGTCTCTGCTTCTGTGATAAATAATAATAAGTTATAAAGACAGCAGCACGTGATCACACACTCTGTGAGTGTTTGTGGAGCTCGTGCAGAGGTAGATCAGGTGATCATTATTATTACAACAAGAGTAATGAAGGAGCTGTGGAATAATATGACTGTTTAAAGCTGCTCCTTCCTCACCTGGACACTTCTTCTTACCTGTGCAGGTGTCTTCTTCGTGTGTCCTTTATTAGCAGTTTTTTCTGCGCAGCTCCGACAGCTCGAGCCGAGGCCGTGCTCAGAGTCCGGATCATCATGACGGACTTCACAGAGTCTCCTTAGAGTCTCCGTCAGGGAGTCTCCTCTGGATCTGGATCTGGGTCTGGTGTCGCTGCCCTCCCAGACTGCTTCTTCTTCTTCTGTAGGGTGTAATGGAGGTCGACATCCAAGTATGTATCAATACCGCCACCTACTGAGCAGAAGGAAAACTTAACAGTGATCAAATAAGAGTCTGAAGAGGAACAAAGTTCTGAACAGAGATCATTTATAAAATAAAGACTTTTAAAGACTGTTTATTCTCACACACCTGTTGTGTTACCTGAGGAATCAACAGAGTGATTAAAACAATCCTGTTCATTTTCTCACAGCAGATTTAATTATTAGCCGTGACGTCACAACCATCTCAGGTAGACTGACCACGAGCTACCTGAGTGTGAAACGATGGTTAACGTTCACCTGATATCAGCCTCGTTTGAAGAGAAACATGGTTTATTCACGATATCGGGGGTAAAGAACTACACTACCCAGGATCAGTGTCACAGCGACGTCTGTGATTGGTGGAGCTCGCCGTTACCATGGCAATGTTTCCCGCCCCTCGGCTCCGTAGGCTAGCTGGTTAGTTAGCTAACAGTGAATGTAGTTTATTACACAACACAAACTACAACAGTTTAAACACGATAACAACGACTACAGTTACATCCGAGAAGAAGAGAGATTATTCGCAATGGATTGTGGGATTGGTAGTTCCTTGCATCTTTGCCTTTCTCTCCGTTTTCCAGTGCCGTTTTGGCGCCGATTTAAATGTTTTAAAGTCATGAGTATTGCGGTAGCTGGTTGTCATGGTTACAGGCTTCAATCTCTTGATATAAAGATTTTGTGAAATGTAAATGGAGGATTTGAATAGGAACCTGAGCTGCCGAAAAAAGGACTGAAAGCCGACTGGCGTCCACGCCCCCAGTGACGCATCACGCACTTGTACGTCCAGCCAATGGGACGGCACGTTTTGCTTTGCGTCACGGTGCTGAACGTAAACAGTCCGGTCTGTTGGTCGACAGGTGAAGGTTGTGTGTGATTCCTCCGTGTTTCAATCCTCGTTTCTCTTCATTTGTTTTCTCTAAAAGTTTAATCTCAGAGGAATGAGGCTGCTGTGGAGGACGCTGCAGACTGCGCATGCTCAGAGGGAGCAGAGCCGCAGACACTTCTGGGGATGGCTCAATGCAGTCTTCAACAAGTGAGACCCCTTTAACCTCCTGATAATAACTACAGAGCAACACACGTGTAACCTGTAACCTGTAACCTGTAACCTGTCAATACACAACGAGTTAAAGTAAACCAGTTCAACCAGTGATGGTAACATGAGGTCTGTGGATCTGGTCTCAGGGTGGACTACGAGAGGATCAAATCCATCGGTCCTGATCGAGCTGCAGCGGAGTGGCTCCTGAGATGTGGAGCCAAAGTCCGGTTTCAGGGTTTCGAGCGCTGGCATCAGGACTACAACGGGCTGCCAACGGGGCCCCTGGGCCGATACAAGATCCAGGCCATCGACGCCACCGAGTCCTGCATCATGTACCGAGGCTTTGACCACCTGGGTGTGTGTGTGTGTGTGTGTGTGTGTGTGTGTGTGTGTGTGTGTGTGTGTGTGTGTGTGTGTGTGTGTGTGTGTGTGTGTGTGTGTGTGTGTGTGTGTGTGTGTGTGTGTGTGTGTGTGTGTGTGTGTGTGTGTGTGTGTGTGTGTGTGTGTGTGTCTGTGTGTCTCTGTGTGTGTCTCTGTGTGTGTCTGTGTGTGTGTGTGTGTCTGTGTGTCTCTGTGTGTGTCTGTGTGTGTGTCTGTGTGTCTCTGTGTGTGTCTGTGTGTGTGTCTGTGTGTGTCTCTGTGTGTGTCTCTGTGTGTGTCTGTGTGTGTGTGTGTGTCTGTGTGTCTCTGTGTGTGTCTCTGTGTGTGTCTCTGTGTGTCTGTGTGTGTGTCTCTGTGTGTGTCTCTGTGTGTGTCTCTGTGTGTGTCTGTGTGTGTCTCTGTGTGTGTCTCTGTGTGTGTCTCTGTGTGTGTCTGTGTGTGTGTCTGTGTGTGTCTCTGTGTGTGTCTCTGTGTGTGTCACTGTGTGTGTGTCACTGTGTGTGTGTCACTGTGTGTGTCACTGTGTGTGTGTGTGTGTGTGTGTGTGTGTGTGTGTGTGTGTGTGTGTGTGTGTGTGTGTGTGTGTGTGTGTGTCACGTTCATGCAACATTTACACTTTGTGAAAACGCTTCTATAATGTTAACGACCTCTGAAAGTCACACACAGAGACACATACAGTGACACACACACACACACACACACACACAGTGACACACACACAGAGACACACACACACACACAGTGACACACACACAGTGACACACACACAGTGACACACACACAGAGACACACACACAGAGACAGACACACACACAGAGACACACACACACACAGTGACATACACACACAGTGACACACACAGAGACACACACAGAGACACACACACACGCACAGTGACACACACAGAGACACACACACAGTGACACACACACACAGAGACACACACACAGTGACACACACACACACAGAGACACACACACACACACAGAGACACACACACACACACACACAGAGACACACACACAGTGACACACACAGAGACACACACAGAGACACACACACAGTGACACACACACACACAGTGACACACACACAGTGACACACACAGAGACACACACACACACACAGTGACACACACACACACACAGAGACACACACAGTGACACACACAGAGACACACACAGAGACACACACAGAGACACACACACAGTGACACACACACACACAGTGACACACACACAGTGACACACACAGAGACACACACACACACACAGTGACACACACACACACACAGTGACACACACAGTGACACACACACACACAGACACACACACAGTGACACACACACACAGAGACACACACAGAGACACACACACAGTGACACACACACACAGAGACACACACAGAGACACACACAGAGACACACACAGTGACGCTGACGACTCCATGAGGACGGATGACCTCTGACCTCTGATCATTAAAGCTCCTGGGACGAGTTTCTAAAATCTAAAGACCTGTACTCTCTGAGACGAGCTGCTGTATATCACACACACACACACACACACACACACACACACACACACACACACACACACACACACACACACACACACACACACACACACACACACACGGTGCTCTTACTGTTCGTGTGTTTCCTTTTTCAGACGGTTTGGAACATGTGGAGGAAATAAAGCTGATCAAATGCGTGTACATCGAGGACGCCTGCCTGGAGCGGCTGAGCGCCATCCAGAACCTGCAGGACAGTCTGAACACGATGGAGGTGGTGTCGTGTGGGAACGTGACGGATAAGGGCGTCATCGCTCTGCACAGACTCAGGTGAGTTTAAACAGGAGAGGGGACAAACAGCAGAGCTCTGTCATCTGTAACCGTGGTTACACCTGGTTGGTTCTCTCAGCTGATCTTATGACATCATGTGTTCTTCTCCTCTCTTTACTTCAGATTGTGATTCTGTTGATACAAAAACATTCTCATCATCTTTCTGTTTGAACAGGAATCTGGAGTCTCTATTCCTCAGCGACCTTCCTGGCATCAGTGACAGACAGACGACGCTGGACAGACTGCAGACGGCTCTGCCACGCCTCGACATCACTCTGGACCTGGACTGAACGACAAACATGGACGTTCTCTTTGAGGGTAAAGAAGGATGCTTTAGATTAAACGTGAAGAGGACTGATGACATGAGCGTCATGATGAACAGTAGGACGCTGTGAACGAGGTCGACTGAGCGAGGACGACTGAACGATGGCGACTTAACGAGGGCGACTTAACGAGGGCGACTGAGCGAGGGCGACTGAGCGAGGGCGACTGAGCGAGGGCGACTTGACGAGGGCGACTGAGCGAGGGCGACTGAGCGAGGGCGACTGAGCGAGGGCGACTTGACGAGGGCGACTGAGCGAGGGCGACTGAGTGAGGGCGACTGAATGAGGACGCTTCAGGTGAAAGGGGAAATGAAGACACTACGTGTTCCTGACGGAGTGAACTGACATTGATTTATTTGAACATGAAAGTGTTACATTTTATTGCTCATTAAAGAAACACAAAAACAATCTGAACGTTCTTTTGGCGTTTTTACAACAAGTGAGGAGAGATGTGAGCGTCCTGAGAGATTGCAACACATCATGACTCTGCGATAAATAAATATTCTCACGTTGTAGGCGGGGAACTTCACATTTTGAAACGTGTCACTCCTGCAGAGTCGGTTGATTTAAAAAAGTTCTGATTTGGCAAACCAGGCAAGGCAGCAGGTCACGACCTTCAGTCTTTTCAAGCAGAGCAGCATGCCGCTCTTTGTCTGTGAAGTCTTTATCCAATCAGCTGCAGCCAGAGACAGCATGCAGAAACCAACACGGGTCCAAAGCATGTGCCCTGAGGTGTCCCCGATGAGTTTAGATGTTGGGGAGGTGGTAGTTGAACCTGCGCAGGTTGTTGTAGTACCTCTTATTGTCCACAGGGGGGAAGACGCTGCTGCCTGTGAGCTGAGGGAGATACTGGAGGAGGAGACACAAGAAACACTTTAAGAACATTTAATCACATGCCACGATAAGACACGTCATGGTGACCACGGTAAGTCGGAGGTCGTCTTACCCCTGCTGGGACGTGTTTACGAGGTAGCCGTGTCCTCTTGGAGCGCTCGTGCTCTCGGGTGGTGCTCTCGCTCTTCTCTCGCAGCGAGTCGAAGAACGGCTGCTGCAAGAGCTGCTCACAGGTCAGACGCTCAGACGGGTCCATCCTCAGAGAACCCTGAAGGGGAACAAGTTCACACGAGTACAGTGCAGTTCACATTTTCACCACCAGGTGGCAGAGTTACAGATCGCTCCTTTAAACGAGTCTTTATGGTTTGAGATATGAAGTTTTTATAAACACAGAAAAGTGTTCAGACTCTGATGACAAAAACATTTTAAAGACATTTTAAACATTTTAAACATTTTAAAGGGACAAACAGAACAAACCTTCAGCACACTCAGGGCCTGACGGGACAGGTTAGGATATTTCTGCTCCAAAGGTTCCTGCAGGGAGAAAACGCGAACATCAAGGTGTCATAATCCCAGCGACCACCAGGTGGCATCAGCAGACTGAGCAGTGTGTGCTGCGTCTCACCTTCTCTTGTGGCTCCGGGATGGAAACCCCGCAGAAGAACTGGTTGTTGCTGAAGACCTGCTGGTGTCGAGGGATCAGGTCTCCTGCAGAGAACAGACACACAGTGTTGAAAACAGTTTCTGCTCTGAGCTTTTATTCTGAAACATTCACAGACTGTTTCCTCCCCTGAGCGTCCTGGTCCTACCCAGACTCTTTCGGATCAGGTACAGCTGGTCCATGTCCGACTTCCCGGGCCACACAGGGACCCCCGACAGCAGCTCGCCGAACACACAGCCGACCGCCCACACGTCTACTGGGGCGCCGTACTGAGTGTCACCCACCAGCAGCTCGGGCGCTCGGTACCAACGAGTTGCCACGTAGTCCGTGTAGTAGTCACATGGACCGGCTGGAAGAGGAAGAGGAGGAGGAGGAAGAAGAAGAAGAGGAGGAGGAAGACATAAAACATAAAGACCAGCAGGGGGCGCTGTCAGCTATCAGGAGGAGGAGTCTTACTGAGGATCCTGGCGAAGCCGAAGTCACAGAGTTTGATGACTTGATGTTTGGTGATCAGAATGTTTTCAGGCTTCACGTCTCGGTGGATACACTGAAAACACACAAAGGGTTAAAATGGAGGAGCAGGAAGGAGGAGCAGGAAGGAAGGAGGAGTGACTCACGTTCTGTTTGTGACAGAAGTTAACCGCCTGAAGAGTCTGCCATGTGATCGTCTTGACCAGCTGCTCGGGGACGCTGTGACACGAGGAAGAAACATCAGACTTTAATAACATGAAACACTGTAATGTTGTAGTGTCCACCAGGGGGCGACCTGCAGCTCTGTGTAATGTTGTAGTGTCCACCAGGGGGCGACCTGCAGCTCTGTGTAATGTTGTAGTGTCCACCAGGGGGCGACCTGCAGCTCTGTGTAATGTTGTAGTGTCCACCAGGGGGCGACCTGCAGCTCTGTGTAATGTTGTAGTGTCCACCAGGGGGCGACCTGCAGCTCTGTGTAATGTTGTAGTGTCCACCAGGGGGCGACCTGCAGCTCTGTGTAATGTTGTAGTGTCCACCAGGGGGCGACCTGCAGCTCTGTGTAATGTTGTAGTGTCCACCAGGGGGCGACCTGCAGCTCTGTCAGGGATTTTACAGAGTTTATCAAAGGACGTAAACGTGTAGTTACTGGATGGATGAGTGTTGTCATAGTAACAGTATTAAGGTGTGTGCAGGTGTAGGTGTGACTTCTTCAGAGGACATTATAAAGTCACCCGGCTCTCACTCAGCTTTGTTGCTCCACAGACCGCCATCTATCAGCGTTACCGAGGAAATGGCTAAATCAAGCCCTGTGACTGGTGATTAATAGCAAGCCCCGCCCCCTTCTCTCCCCTTTGTTCTCTCTCCTTTTGAATGTCGGGGGGGGGGGGGGCAGACAGTATAAAAACACAAAATGTGGCCGCCTGCAAAGCATTCTGGGAGAGCATCACTGTAAACATTCCACAGCGAGCGGGTCGGCCTCCTGGGAGACAAGCGCTGTGCCTGGGACAAAGCTGACTGAGAGGTTTACGTGTGGAAGGGAGAAAGTACAGGAGGCGGTCTCAGAGGAACCAGGTCTCACAGGGACCTGGTCTTCATGTCTGGACCGTAGCTCACAGCCGCCGCACAGCAAAACCACTTTATTACCATTACTGCCCCTCACTGTTTCCAGAGAACTGTCTGTCTTCTCTTTCTTACCCGCCCTCCCCATTAGCCCGCTCTCTTCTGATTGGCCAGCTCTCTGGAAGCCTTCCTGTGAGGCAGAACGCTGCAGGGCTGCCAGAGGGGGCTGCTCTCCAGGTCTAGGAGAAGAGACCCTCTGCAGACTCATCCTGGGATTACTCCAACATACGATACCTACGTTCAGTACACACCCACCCTCTGGGATGGTGGTCCAGCTCGTTGAGGACGGTGTGGTCGCAGTACTCGAACACGAGGTGGAGCTTCCGTTTACGGCGAAACACCTCGATCAGATTCACCAGGTTGGAGTGTTTCAGAGACTGCAGAGAGAGAGAGAGAGAGAGAGAGAGAGAGAGAGAGAGAGAGAGAGATGAATAAAACATAACGACAGTAAATGTTTTTTTCTCTCGGCTGTTGTCGGTCAGAGAGACGACCTGTCTGTGTTTTTTTCTCTCTTCAAACACTGAACAGCTGCTCATAAACATGCTGTTGCTCCCGACAACCAGCCTCTTCATGAGCCGCAGCCAATAAAACACGCCAACCACCACGCCAAGGATTTAACCCTGACACGACCGAGAACACCTCAAAATTTAAACCATATAATATATATATATATATATATATATATATATATATAATATAATATATCTGAATATAATTATTTTCATATTTTATTTCGAAACTTTAAAACATTTCACTAACGTTATTTTGAAAACAACAACAACTTCAGGACGTCCTACGATACAGGAAGTAGAACAAACAAAAACTCTCAGCACCAACTGTTGAGAGGTCACTATGTGTAATCACTTTTTTAATTGTTAATTGATGAACCATATATGGGCGTGTGATTATCACTTGACCTTTAAAAATGAGAACAAAGTAAAATAAACTACTTCTTCAAACTCGCTCCTGTTTGAGTAAGTTTTAAACAAACTACAGGTTCTACTTCCTGTTTGAGTCAGTGTTGAACAAACTACAGGTTCTACTTCCTGTTTGAGTAAGTTTTAAACAAACTACAGGTTCTACTTCCTGTTTGAGTCAGTGTTGAACAAACTACAGGTTCTACTTCCTGTTTGAGTAAGTTTTAAACAAACTACAGGTTCTACTTCCTGTTTGAGTCTGTGTTGAACAAACTACAGGTTCTACTTCCTGTTTGAGTCAGTGTTGAACAAACTACAGGTTCTACTTCCTGTTTGAGTCAGTGTTTGACAGGTTCTACTTCCTGTTTGAGTCAGGTCCAGAGTGATGTCGAGGCGTGGCAGAGCCGTCTGCAGTCTGTCCAGCGTTGTCTGTCTGTCACTGATGCCAGGAAGGTCGCTGAGGAATAGAGACTCCAGATTCAAACTACAGGTTCTACTTCCTGTTTGAGTAAGTTTTAAACAAACTACAGGTTCTACTTCCTGTTTGAGTCAGAGTTGAACAAACTCCAGGTTCTACTTCCTGTTTGAGTAAGTTTTAAACAAACTCCAGGTTCTACTTCCTGTTTGAGTCAGAGTTGAACAAACTACAGGTTCTACTTCCTGTTTGAGTCAGTGTTTGACAGGTTCTACTTCCTGTTTGAGTCAGTGTTGAACAAACTACAGGTTCTACTTCCTGTTTGAGTCAGTGTTGAACAAACTACAGGTTCTACTTCCTGTTTGAGTCAGGTCCAGAGTGATGTCGAGGCGTGGCAGAGCCGTCTGCAGTCTGTCCAGCGTTGTCTGTCTGTCACTGATGCCAGGAAGGTCGCTGAGGAATAGAGACTCCAGATTCAAACTACAGGTTCTACTTCCTGTTTGAGTAAGTTTTAAACAAAATACAGGTTCTACTTCCTGTTTGAGTCAGTGTTGAACAAACTACAGGTTCTACTTCCTGTTTGAGTCAGGTCCAGAGTGATGTCGAGGCGTGGCAGAGCCGTCTGCAGTCTGTCCAGCGTTGTCTGTCTGTCACTGATGCCAGGAAGGTCGCTGAGGAATAGAGACTCCAGATTCAAACTACAGGTTCTACTTCCTGTTTGAGTAAGTTTTAAACAAAATACAGGTTCTACTTCCTGTTTGAGTCAGTGTTGAACAAACTACAGGTTCTACTTCCTGTTTGAGTCAGGTCCAGAGTGATGTCGAGGCGTGGCAGAGCCGTCTGCAGTCTGTCCAGCGTTGTCTGTCTGTCACTGATGCCAGGAAGGTCGCTGAGGAATAGAGACTCCAGATTCAAACTACAGGTTCTACTTCCTGTTTGAGTAAGTTTTAAACAAAATACAGGTTCTACTTCCTGTTTGAGTCAGTGTTGAACAAACTACAGGTTCTACTTCCTGTTTGAGTCAGGTCCAGAGTGATGTCGAGGCGTGGCAGAGCCGTCTGCAGTCTGTCCAGCGTTGTCTGTCTGTCACTGATGCCAGGAAGGTCGCTGAGGAATAGAGACTCCAGATTCAAACTACAGGTTCTACTTCCTGTTTGAGTAAGTTTTAAACAAAATACAGGTTCTACTTCCTGTTTGAGTCAGTGTTGAACAAACTACAGGTTCTACTTCCTGTTTGAGTCAGGTCCAGAGTGATGTCGAGGCGTGGCAGAGCCGTCTGCAGTCTGTCCAGCGTTGTCTGTCTGTCACTGATGCCAGGAAGGTCGCTGAGGAATAGAGACTCCAGATTCAAACTACAGGTTCTACTTCCTGTTTGAGTCAGGTCCAGAGTGATGTCGAGGCGTGGCAGAGCCGTCTGCAGTCTGTCCAGCGTTGTCTGTCTGTCACTGATGCCAGGAAGGTCGCTGAGGAATAGAGACTCCAGATTCAAACTACAGGTTCTACTTCCTGTTTGAGTAAGTTTTAAACAAACTACAGGTTCTACTTCCTGTTTGAGTCAGAGTTGAACAAACTCCAGGTTCTACTTCCTGTTTGAGTAAGTTTTAAACAAACTACAGGTTCTACTTCCTGTTTGAGTCAGAGTTGAACAAACTACAGGTTCTACTTCCTGTTTGAGTAAGTTTTAAACAAACTACAGGTTCTACTTCCTGTTTGAGTCAGAGTTGAACAAACTCCAGGTTCTACTTCCTGTTTGAGTCAGAGTTGAACAAACTACAGGTTCTACTTCCTGTTTGAGTCAGAGTTGAACAAACTACAGGTTCTACTTCCTGTTTGAGTAAGTTTTAAACAAACTACAGGTTCTACTTCCTGTTTGAGTCAGAGTTGAACAAACTCCAGGTTCTACTTCCTGTTTGAGTAAGTTTTAAACAAACTACAGGTTCTACTTCCTGTTTGAGTCAGAGTTGAACAAACTACAGGTTCTACTTCCTGTTTGAGTAAGTTTTAAACAAACTACAGGTTCTACTTCCTGTTTGAGTCAGAGTTGAACAAACTCCAGGTTCTACTTCCTGTTTGAGTCAGAGTTGAACAAACTACAGGTTCTACTTCCTGTTTGAGTCAGTGTTGAACAAACTACAGGTTCTACTTCCTGTTTGAGTCAGTGTTGAACAAACTACAGGTTCTACTTCCTGTTTGAGTCAGAGTTGAACAAACTACAGGTTCTACTTCCTGTTTGAGTCAGTGTTTGACAGGTTCTACTTCCTGTTTGAGTCAGTGTTGAACAAACTACAGGTTCTACTTCCTGTTTGAGTCAGTGTTTGACAGGTTCTACTTCCTGTTTGAGTCAGGTCCAGAGTGATGTCGAGGCGTGGCAGAGCCGTCTGCAGTCTGTCCAGCGTTGTCTGTCTGTCACTGATGCCAGGAAGGTCGCTGAGGAATAGAGACTCCAGATTCAAACTACAGGTTCTACTTCCTGTTTGAGTAAGTTTTAAACAAACTACAGGTTCTACTTCCTGTTTGAGTCAGTGTTGAACAAACTACAGGTTCTACTTCCTGTTTGAGTCAGAGTTGAACAAACTACAGGTTCTACTTCCTGTTTGAGTCAGTGTTTGACAGGTTCTACTTCCTGTTTGAGTCAGGTCCAGAGTGATGTCGAGGCGTGGCAGAGCCGTCTGCAGTCTGTCCAGCGTTGTCTGTCTGTCACTGATGCCAGGAAGGTCGCTGAGGAATAGAGACTCGATTCAACTATACAGGTTCTACTTCTGTTTTGAGTAAGTTTTAAACAAACTACAGGTTCTACTTCCTGTTTGAGTCAGAGTTGAACAAACTACAGGTTCTACTTCCTGTTTGAGTAAGTTTTAAACAAACTCCAGGTTCTACTTCCTGTTTGAGTCAGTGTTGAACAAACTACAGGTTCTACTTCCTGTTTGAGTAAGTTTTAAACAAAATACAGGTTCTACTTCCTGTTTGAGTCAGTGTTGAACAAACTACAGGTTCTACTTCCTGTTTGAGTAAGTTTTAAACAAACTCCAGGTTCTACTTCCTGTTTGAGTCAGAGTTGAACAAACTCCAGGTTCTACTTCCTGTTTGAGTCAGAGTTGAACAAACTCCAGGTTCTACTTCCTGTTTGAGGAGCAGGTCATTCTGCTGCGTCAGACTCACCTTCAGCATCCTGATCTCCCTCGTGGCGATCTTCCTGATGATTGGGTCATCCTCTGACTCCACAAACTTCTTGATGGCGACGATCTGTCCCGTGTCTTTGTTCCTGCACTTGAAGACGACACCGTACGAGCCCTCGCCGATCTTTCCAATCTTCTCGTACTTCTCCATTTAGAGAGGAGGAGACAGAGGAGGAGACAGAGGAGGAGACTTTAGAGAGGAGGAGACAGAGGAGGAGACAGAGGAGGAGACAGAGGAGGAGACTTTAGAGAGGAGGAGACAGAGGAGGAGACAGAGGAGGAGACTTTAGAGAGGAGGAGACAGAGGAGGAGATGTCAGAGAGGAGGAGACAGAGGAGGAGACAGAGGAGGAGACAGAGGAGGAGATGTCAGAGAGGAGGAGACAGAGGAGGAGATGTCAGAGAGGAGGAGACAGAGGAGGAGACAGAGGAGGAGACAGAGGAGGAGACTTTAGAGAGGAGGAGACAGAGGAGGAGACAGAGGAGGAGACGTCAGAGAGGAGGAGACAGAGGAGGAGACAGAGGAGGAGACTTTAGAGAGGAGGAGACAGAGGAGGAGACAGAGGAGGAGATGTCAGAGAGGAGGAGACAGAGGAGGAGACAGAGGAGGAGACAGAGGAGGAGACGTCAGAGAGGAGGAGACAGAGGAGGAGACTTTAGAGAGGAGACAGAGGAGGAGACAGAAGAGGAGACGTTAGAGAGGAGGAGACAGAGGAGGAGACAGAGGAGGAGACAGAGAAGGAGACTTTAGAGAGGAGGAGACAGAAGAGGAGACAGAAGAGGAGACAGAGAAGGAGACGTTAGAGAGGAGGAGACAGAGAAGGAGACTTTAGAGAGGAGGAGACAGAAGAGGAGACAGAAGAGGAGACGTTAGAGAGGAGGAGACAGAGGAGGAGACAGAGGAGGAGACAGAAGAGGAGACGTTAGAGAGGAGGAGACAGAGGAGGAGACAGAGGAGGAGACAGAGAAGGAGACTTTAGAGAGGAGGAGACAGAAGAGGAGACAGAAGAGGAGACGTTAGAGAGGAGGAGACAGAGGAGGAGACAGAGGAGGAGACAGAGGAGGAGACTTTAGAGAGGAGACAGAGGAGGAGACAGAGAAGGAGACTTTAGAGAGGAGGAGACAGAAGAGGAGACAGAAGAAGAGACGTTAGAGGAGACAGAAGAGGAGACAGAAGAGGAGACGTTAGAGAGGAGGAGACGTTAGAGAGGAGGAGACAGAGGAGGAGACAGAGGAGGAGACAGAAGAGGAGACGTTAGAGAGGAGGAGACAGAGGAGGAGACAGAGGAGGAGACAGAGGAGGAGACTTTAGAGAGGAGGAGACAGAGGAGGAGACAGAGGAGGAGACGTTAGAGAGGAGGAGACAGAGGAGGAGACAGAGGAGGAGACTTTAGAGAGGAGGAGACTTTAGAGAGGAGGAGACAGAGGAGGAGACAGAGGAGGAGACAGAGGAGGAGACAGAGGAGGAGACTTTAGAGAGGAGGAGACAGAGGAGGAGACAGAGGAGGAGACTTTAGAGAGGAGACAGAGGAGGAGACAGAGAAGGAGACTTTAGAGAGGAGGAGACAGAAGAGGAGACAGAAGAGGAGACGTTAGAGAGGAGGAGACAGAGGAGGAGACTTTAGAGAGGAGACAGAAGAGGAGACAGAGGAGGAGACTTTAGAGAGGAGACAGAGGAGGAGACAGAAGAGGAGACGTTAGAGAGGAGGAGACAGAGGAGGGACCAGAGAGGAGACAGAGAAGGAGACTTTAGAGAGGAGGAGACAGAAGAGGAGACAGAAGAGGAGACAGAGAAGGAGACGTTAGAGAGGAGGAGACAGAGGAGGAGACAGAAGAGGAGATGTTAGAGAGGAGGAGACGTTAGAGGAGACAGAAGAGGAGACAGAAGAGGAGACGTTAGAGAGGAGGAGACGTTAGAGAGGAGGAGACAGAGGAGGAGACAGAGGAGGAGACTTTAGAGAGGAGGAAACTGATCCTGGATCGTGGTCCTGATCATCCTGGTGTCTAAGTAATCCTTCATGGTCGGCCTCATTATACCGTCCAGTCGCTCTAACATCATGAAGTGTTTTGAGACGTTTTACATCAAAGCCTTCCTCAGACTTTAAATCCAAACAGATCCACAGAGGACCCCATAGACCCAAACAGATCTACAGAGGACCCCATAGACCCAAACAGATCCACAGAGGACCCCATAGACCCAAACAGATCTACAGAGGACCCCATAGACCCAAACAGATCCACAGAGGACCCCATAGACCCAAACAGATCCACAGAGGACCCCATAGACCCAAACAGATCTACAGAGGACCCCATAGACCCAAACAGATCTACAGAGGACCCCATAGACCCAAACAGATCCACAGAGGACCCCATAGACCCAAACAGATCCACAGAGGACCCCATAGACCCAAACAGATCCACAGAGGACCCCATAGATCTCCACACTGCTCTGATCAACCTGGAGCTAAAGCTACTCTTCATCTATTACACACACACACACACACACACACACACACACACACACACACACACACACACACACACACACCACACCACACACACACACACACACACACACACACACACACACACACACACACACACACACACACACACACACACACACACACACACACACACACACACACACACACACACACACACACACACACACACACACACACACACACACACACTTCTATTCTATTCAATAAGTAATGACGTCAGTGTTTTTAAATCTGAAATACAGAAAGAGTGTCCTCGTGACACCTCATGAACGTAAAGTTAAATATTTAAAATCTTATTTCAGTAAAAAGTAAAAGAAGTCTTTAAAAAGTCTTCCTGTTCTCTAAAGACAAATAAAACTTACTGAGGGGGTCAAAGAGGATCAGTCCGGACTCCAAGAGGTCCGCTCAGTATCAGTCCGGACTCCAAGAGGTCCGCTCAGTATCAGTCCGGACTCCAAGAGGTCCGCTCAGGATCAGTCCGGACTCCAAGAGGTCCGCTCAGTATCAGTCCGGACTCCAAGAGGTCCGCTCAGGATCAGTCCGGACTCCAAGAGGTCCGCTCAGGATCAGTCCGGAGTCTTTGCTCATCTGTGTCTGCTCACAACACGAACTCCTTTATTTTACTGCATCAAGCATACACGACACACCCTATATCCGGGACGACCTTTCAAAATAAAACACAGCATGAGAACGGATCACACGATCCGATCGGTGTGATTAATTTATTACACTGAACGAGGACTGAGCTTCTTCTTAACACTGTAAAGGTCAAAGGTTACTGTTGATGCACGAAGCAGCCATGTTGGATCTCTGTGTCGATGATTCATTTAATATCAACCGACAGGTTTTAATCATTTTTTATCTTTCAGGATTTCATCTGAACATAACTCACCTTGTTACTGATTTTATACAAAGGGCCATACGAAATTGAAATAAAGATACATTTAAGTTATTCATATTTTGATGAGTATCTTCAGCAAGAGAAAAGCCTTCATAACCTTTAAAGCTAATCAGCCAATCAGAGGTCAGCAGGGCGGGATTACACAGGTATCTATGGAGAAACATGTCAACAGAAAGTAAAACTACTAAATATGAAAATGATTCTGTTTAATTAGCTGACGTCCAGACTTGTGTTGTAGTTTTATTGTGAAAGAGACTTCCTGTTCACACACTCTCACTCTGAGTAACTTCACACAATTCTCTCTTTAACGTCCCTGGTTTCTATAGCAACCGCTGACTCCACCTTCACCTCCAGAGAGGAGGAGAGGGAGAAGGAGAGGAGGAGAAGGAGGCGAAAGAGAGGAGGAGGAGGAAGAGGAGGAAGGAGAGGAAGAGGAGAGGAGAAGGAGGAAGAGGAGGAAGGAGAGGAAGAGGAGAGGAGAAGGAGGAAGAGGAGAGGAGAAAGAGGAGAAAGAGAGGAGGAGGAGGAAGAGGAGGAAGGAGAGGAAGAGGAGAGGAGAAGGAGGAAGAGGAGAGGAGAAAGAGGAGAAAGAGAGGAGGAGGAGGAAGAGGAGGAAGGAGAGGAAGAGGGAGGAGAAAGGAGGAGAGGAGAGGAGGAGGAGGAAGAGGAGAGGAGAAAGAGGAAGAGAGGAAGGAGGAGGAAGAGGAGGAAGGAGAGGAGGAGGAGGAAGAGGAGGAGAGGAGAAGGAGGAAGAGGAAGAGGAGAGGAGAAAGAGGAGAAAGAGAGGAGGAGGAGGAAGAGGAGGAAGGAGAGGAAGAGAGAGGAGAAGGAGGAAGAGGAGAGGAGAAAGAGGAGAAAGAGAGGAGGAGGAGGAAGAGGAGGAAGGAGAGGAAGAGGAGGAGAAAGGGAGAGGAGAGGAGGAGGAGGAAGAGGAGAGGAGGAGGAAGAAGAGAGGAAGGAGGAGGAAGAAGAGGAAGAGAGGAGGAGGAAGGAGAGGAGGAGGAGGAAGGAGAGGAGAAGGAGGAGAGGAAGAGGAGGAAGAGGAGAGGAGAAAGAGGAGAAAGAGAGGAGAGGAGGAAGAGGAGGAAGGAGAGGAGGAAGAGGAGAAGAAGGAAGAAGGAGGAGAGGAGAGGAGAGGAGAAAGAGGAGAAAGAGAGGAGGAGGAGGAAGAGGAGGAAGGAGAGGAAGAGGAGAGGAGGAAGGAGGAGAAAGGAGGAGAGGAGAGGAGGAGGAGGAAGAGGAGAGGAAGGAGGAGGAAGAAGAGGAAGAGAGGAGGAGGAAGGAGAGGAGGAGGAAGAAGAGGAGGAGAGGAGAGGAGAAGGAGGAAGAGGAGAGGAGAAAGAGGAGAAAGAGAGGAGGAGGAGGAAGAGGAGGAAGGAGAGGAGGAAGAGGAGAGGAGGAAGGAGGAGAAAGGAGGAGAGGAGAGGAGAAGAGGAGAAAGAGAGGAGGAGGAGGAAGAGGAGGAAGGAGAGGAGGAGGAAGAGGAGAGGAGAAGGAGGAGAAAGGAGGAGAAAGGAGGAGAGGAGAGGAGGAAGAGAGGAGGAGGAAGGAGGAGGAAGAGGAGGAGAGGAGAGGAGAAGGAGAAGGAGGAAGAGGAAGAGGAGGAGAGGAGAAGGAGGAAGAGGAGAAAGAGAGGAGGAAGGAGAGGAGGAGGAGGAAGAGGAAGAGGAGAGGAAGGAGGAGAAAGGAGGAGGAAGAGGAGAGGAAGGAGGAGAAAGGAGGAGGAAGGAGGAGAGGAGAGGAGAGGAGGAGGAGGAAGAGAGGAAGGAGGAGGAAGGAGGAGGAAGAGAGGAGGAGGAAGAAGAAGTAGGAGGAGGAAGGAGGCGGAAGAGGAGAGGAAGTAAGAGGAGGAAGGAGGAGGAGGAGAGGGAGAACAGTTTTGGGGATGAACAGTTTCGGGGATGATCATACCTGACAGGCAGGTAAGCTCCGCCCTCCTTGATCATATAAACAGCAGGGACTTCAGGGACTCACCTGTCCTCTCTCACCTGAAGCCTCAGGTGGAAATGAAGCATCCAAACATCGTGGTGTCTGATGCCTCCTCGCCGTGGGACCAATTAGAGGCGCCCGGTGAGTCAGAGGAACGACAGACTAAACCAGGAAGTGATGGAAACTAATTGTCCCTGTGCTCCAATCAGACGCTCCTCATGAGCGAGAAGAGATAACCAGAGCCAGGAAACAAACGCCATCCGTGACGTCTTAACACATTTTTATTACAAAAACAGCTTTCAGTAAAACAGTCAGGAAAAGATGTTAAGACAGAAAAGTAGCATGTGTCCCTCATTTTGTCGTTTTATTTTAAATACAAATGTACAAAAGTGCTTACATGGTGCAAATCAGGAAGTAAAAGAGTCTAAAAGAGAGATGAAGAGAGGAAGCAGCAGAGCGAGCGAGGAAAGGAAGAAGCAGTAACAGAAACATCAAACATACCCTAACAGGAAGTTAATAAATATGAATCAGCTGCTCGTCTCCGTTTTTATGGCACTTTGAATCAAACTCGTCCAC